CCTGCTTCGCCGTCGCAAACCTTGGGAGGCAGTCGCTCATTATAGGACACTCGTGGCTGCTGCACCACAACCCGGAAGTGGACTGGACATGACAAAGAGTCACCATGTCCCGCTGCCCAACATCCTGCCAGTCGATACGAGCGCGAGCCGACTCAGACCCCGCGATAGAGCCTGGGGATGGGATCTACGCCGCTATCATTCCCCTGGGGTGGGGACATGAGCTAAGAGCGACCACGACCCCATTGCAGCGGATGGCCCAGGAGGCCCACGAGCCGGAGGCAGAACCCACACAGTTTGAGGCACTGGTGCCAGAGCAGTACCAGGACTTCCGGGATGTATTCTCGAAGGAGGCTTTCGACCAGCTACCTCCACGGAAGCCCTGGGACCACACGATAGACCTGGCACCAGAGGCCAAACTCCTGAGAGGGAGGACCTTCCCCCTGTCAAGGCCAGAACAGAAGGAACTGGACGAGTTCCTCCGCGAAAACCTGCGGAACGGACGCATATGGCCATCCAAGTCCCCGATGGGGGCACCAGTCTTCTTCGTCAAGAAGAAGGACAGGTCATTATGCCTGGTCCAGGACTATCGCAAGCTCAACAAGATCACAGTGAAGAACTCATATCCCCTCCCCCTCATCTCGGACGTCCTCACGTGCCTCCGAAACGCCAAATACTTCTCGGCGCTAGATCTCCGCTGGGGGTTCAACAACGTCCGCATCAAGGATGGCGATGAATGGAAAGCGGCATTCTCGACCAACCGGGGGCTGTTCGAGCCTACGGTCATGTTCTTTGGCCTATGCAACTCCCCAGCAACTTTCCAGACCATGATGAATGACATACTCCGAGACTTCATCGACCGGGAGGTTGTCATCTGTTACATGGATGACATCCTGATCTTCACCGCTACCCTGGAAGAACACCGGAAGGTTGTCTGCGAGGTTTTGGAAACACTGCGAAGAAGGAAGCTCTTCTTGAAGCCGGAGAAGTGCAAGTTCGAGCGGACCCGAATCAAATACCTCGGCCTCATCATCACTGAGGGCAGCGTCGCGATGGATCCCGTGAAGATCCGTGGAGTCCTCGACTGGCCAACCCCAACTAAGGTCAAGGAGGTGCAGTCCTTCCTGGGGTTCGTCAACTTCTACCACCAGTTCATCAAGGATTTCTCAGAGATAGCCCACCCCCTCCATGCGTTAACCCGCAAGACGAAGACTTGGGCCTGGGGACCAGATGAGGACCGCACTTTCCGTGCCCTCAAAGATGCCGTCACCTCCGCCCCCGTCCTCGCCTTCCCTACCGACACGGGCCACTTCAAGCTCGAGTGCGACGCCTCCAACTTCGCAACCGGTGCCGTCCTCTCCCAGCTCCAGGCAGATGGAGAATTCCACCCGGTAGCCTTCATGTCGAAAAGCTTCACAGATGTGGAACGCAACTATGAAGAGCTAGTCCTACAGAGGAAGGATATACGTCCCCAAGGACCTGCAGCTCCGCCACAACCTGGTGCGGCTGTCAGGGACAGCTCCGAAAGCGGCAAGGTCCCGGCGCGAGGGACTCGATGGGACAGATGTCGGCTATGTGTAGCGGCAGTCCCGTTGCAGGGTGAGCGTCCCCGACCACTTAGTCTGAAGTGGGAAGTTGAATTATCATTAAAAGGGGAAGCTACAGTACTTACCTGAAGTGGGAAGTTGAGAAGAAGGCTGCTTCTTCTGTTCCCACCCCAGGTGCTATTATATACATGCGGCTGGGGTCACGTGGGAGGAGCCACGTCATCCCCGCACACAGCCGCACTCCCCTGGGTATCTCCGTGGGAGATCCCGGAGGTGTGCCGCTCTGTGAGTGGGAATGCATGCGGCAGGTGCGGCGATCGGGGGAGTGGGGTTAAGTGTGTAGTAATACATAGAGAAGGGGAAGTCGACCATGGAACGGAAATAGAAAGAAAGAAGGAAAGGGGAAAGAAGAAACAGGGAGTGATAGCGGGGGAGCGGGGTAGGGCGGCGCGGCGTGGGGTCAGGTGGGGTGTGCCCTGACAGCGGCTACACCATGATGCACAGGCAATGGGGCACCCAGGGTGATGGAAGACCCTGGAACTCGTCTCCCATGACTACTGGTGGCCCCGGATGGCGGAGTACATAGGACGGTACGTGCGCGGGTGTGACACCTGCAACCGCGTCAAGTCCTTCCCCTCCCATAAGGTCGGAAAGCTCATCCCGAACAAAGTCCCCGCACGCCGCTGGCAAGTGATCTCTGTCGACATGGTAGGGGAGCTCCCCAAGTCGAAGGGATACAACGCCATTCTCGTCGTAGTAGACCGCCTATCCAAGCACATCCATGCGATCCCTACGGTGACGACGGTAGATTCAGTGGGAATCGCACGGCTCTTCCTCGAACACGTCTGGAAACACCATGGCCTACCCGAAGAGATCCTCAGCGATAGAGGAAGCGCCTTCATCTCCCGCTTCTCGAAGGAACTTGCAGACCTCCTCGGAGTCAAGCTCACCCCCTCGACACCCTACCACCCACAGACGGACCGACAAACTGAGCGGGTAAACCAGGAGATAGAAGCCTACCTCCGAGTGTTCGTCAACCACCGCCAAGACGACTGGGCGGACTGGCTCCCGCTAGCGGAGTTCACCTACAACAACCGCGTCCACTCCGCTACCCGCTGAACCCCCTTCGAGCTCGACACTGGGCAACACCCCAGGATGGGGACAGAGCCCACACACACGTCCGAGGTGGAAGCCGCAGATGCATTCTCCTCACAAATGATGAAAATGCAAGAGGAGGTGAAGGCAGCGCTGGAGCATGCGGCGGACGAGATGGCCCGCTATTATGACCGCAATTGCGGGGCAGCCCCTACATACCGAGAAGGCGACCAGGTCTGGCTTAGCACCCAGAGCTACACGACTGACCGTCCGACCAAGAAGCTAGACCACAAGTGGATTGGCCCCTTCGTGATCACCAAAGTCGTCTCCCCCGCTGCCGTCAAACTCCGACTCACCGCATGACAGAAGGGGATCCACCCAGTCATGTCTGTGACGAACGTCAGACCGCACCGCCCTGACAACATCGTGGAACGCCCTGCCGACCCACGCCCGGGCCCAGACCTCATAGATGGGGAAGAAGAATACGAGGTCGAAAAAATTCTGGACTCCAGATGGTGGTGCTGGAAACTCTGGTACTTGGTAAAGTATACCGGCTGGCCAAACTCAGAGAACCAGTGGCTTGCACGCGAAAATCTAACCCACGCCTCCGACCTAGTGGAAGACTTCCATCAGACACACCCCCATGCCCCAGGGAGAGAAAGAGAAGACCGCCCAGCCACTTCGAGGCGAAGCGGCTTAAGGAGGGGGTGATGTCAGGGCATGCCCCGACATGCCCCGCCCGATCCCTGCTCTGCACCGCCTCTCCCTCCTCTCCCTCTTCCTTTCTCCTGTTCTCCTTTCCTCCTTTCTTTCTTTCTCTCTTTCTCTTACATGGACCACCTTTTCCCCTGCTCAATGTATCACCAGCGCACACGCCCATCTCCCCTCCTGTATCTTACATCCCTATACCACCACCACCGCTGCCGCACTCGCCTTGCACCCACAGCGGGCCCTCTCAGGATCTTCCGCGGAAGCACCCGGAGAGCCGTGGCTGTGTGCAAGGGTGACGTGGCGCACCCCACGTGATCATTCTCGCATGTATATAATAACAGCTGGAGTGGGAACCGAAGAAGTAGCCTTCTTCTCACATTTCCACTTCAGACTAAGTGGTCGGGGACGCTCACCCTGTGATGGGATCGCCGCTACGCATAGCTGCTATCCGTCCCCCCAAGTCCCGCACCCTGGGACCTCGCCGCTTTCGGAGCTGTCCCTGACAGGCAATTGTGGATGATAAAGTGGGCATTCGGGAAAATGGGACACTAAGCCAGTCATGAGGCGATACTGCCATTGTAGAAGGTATGTCATCGGGCAGCGGAGGCTTGAGTGTTGGTTCGATGCCTCCATTGAGCTTTAAAACTCAGATGAGTGAGGGTTCAAGGTATCGTAAAATTTATTCTTACCTCGAAGAGAAAATCATTGACCGAGGCTGGTTCTGGAAAAGCGGAAGGCTTGGTGGCTGCTGGAAAAAAGCCTGGAAAAGTCAAGGTCGAAGTGAAGGAGGGGATCGTGTCATGGGAATATCCTTCGGCAGTAGAGATCGCTTCTGATAAGGAGTTAGAAGGTTGGAACACGAAATACCCCCAAGGCACTGCAAATAGCTCACTCACTATCAATGGGATTGATGGGATTTTCGATAGCGGTGCCAACAACAGCATTCCTGGGATTCTGATGGCCTGACATTGTTGCAGTAGGTGTAATAGAGGTCTGGGCCGGGCTTTCCTCTGGAAGAACCAATAGAGAGTGATAGACATGTGCATCACAAAGATGCCATCAAAGTGGACGTGTTTGTTTACTCAACAAGTTCTCATTTGACGCTGCTTCCTCAGATGGAGCCCGCAAATCGTTTCCGAGAGTGGGAGCTTCAGTAGTGATGGTGACCAAGATATCGTGTCGCACTCAGGACCCTTCAACCTGGTCAATGTGTTCGAGGCTGAGATTGACAGCTCTGATGGCGGATCTATAATGGAGTGTCCACTTTGCATCTAGGAGGTATCGGGCCCAACCTGCCTTGGGCTGAGCAAGCTGAGACATGTGCCGGAGTCCATACACTCAGTATGCCCAAATTCCACCGCCCTGTGTTCTTCCTTACCTCGACAGGGACCAGGGACATGCATTAGAGGAAAGGTCGACGTCCCACTATAGTGGCGCACAGACCTATCAGCCACCTAGGATTGTCCACTATTCCTGTTTTATTCTTCTTGTTGATAGGCAGCGTTGTAGGCTTAAAAGCCACTCGTCATGACTGTTTTTTCTCTCCCCAGTTACACTATCGTGAACAGAGGTGAAATCGTACTTCTTGGTCATATTAGACTGTTAACGTGTAATTGTCTAGCATTTATACATCGCTAGTTTTCTCACAACATGACAGGGCCTCTGAGAGTAAGCTTCATCTTTCGCATCGAAGATCTGCCCACTGAGATTATTTTATCAGCAGGCGCAGATGCAGATGCCTAGTGGCCCTAATCTTCCGAATGCAAGGTCTCCTGAAGACGATATCAGTCCTCTTACCTTCTATGAATCCCTTCAACGTGATCGAAAGAAAGATCCATCATACCGGTGCCCTGAGCCCAGTAAATCGCAAGCATTTGGTTAGGGTTTGCTTTTGATACCGGATCCAGTATTAGACATGGCCCAGCCGTATGTCAAAGCTGAATCGAAAACCAGTGCCCCACCCATTTATTGCACTGGTTCCTACTCCTGGTCATTTTTTTGTACCTCTGAATCTCGTGGTATTATTTGTTTGGACTCTACCCATTGCAACCCTCATAAGTGCTATTTCACTCAGATCGATCCACAGACCTTCCTCATCCCACCTCTTCAGAACTCAATGAGAGAAGATCTGCTACCATCAAAAGAGTTTCCCCCATACCATTGAGCCCTCAGGATTAGTTTATGGGCTGTTTTCATTCCTTACACAAAACAGCTCCATATGGCAATCTGCAACCAATACTATACCTCCGGAGTCTCCAACCTCCATACAGACATGCCAGGGTTAGTCCTTCAAAACACCATCGGGACACGAAAATAATATGGTTGTTCATTCATAGCAACCCTGTATAAACACTAGGGAAGGCCTTGGTCGAAGAGAGAGAGAAGCGACTTAAACATTTAAAATCAATTGTATGTTAGAGTTAAATGTGTTGGAGTATATAATTCCCCATATGTCTAACATGTGACTGTGTCAGCAACAAGCCTTGGCCCAGGATGAGCATAGAGCTCTTCAAGACTTGAAAGATGTGTTACTGAAAAATGAGGAAGACGAGGTTCACAACATACCCACTATCTCCCAGGGATGAACCGCCACATCCTTCAGCTCTGAACTGATACAAGAGCAGACTGGGGCATGGTGATGCAGCATGGGTGACTCCCAGTTTGTGAAGGACCAGGTAGATAAATTATGACTCAGTTATTCCGTTGATGACCTCTGCCAAGATTGAGATGATAATTGCAGAGATCCACAAAGTTTCAGCTTTGCCTTTGGTGTCTCTGAAGTACAATCAGAGGGTGTCACTGTCGAAAATTAGGTAATACATAACATATCTAAGAATTGTGAAGCAGCGAAAAGAACCTGGGAGCAAATTCCTTACAAGCTTGACCATTGATCACAGCTTACATCATAGCATGTGGTGGTAGGGGCCCCCCTGTTGAAAATGCCCTGTTCGGGTGGGCCCAGCCACACAGAACAGATACCATTGAAATTATATTATATTAAATCAAACAAAGCAAGACAATGGAAAGTCAGAAATATCAGGCTAGCAGTTGTAAAGTAGCGTGTTACACTCAGTATAGTATAAAACATTTATTGTTCAGGCAGGTCTTGTGATTATCCAGAAATGGCTGGAAATCGGGTCAAATCTAAGTCCCTAATTGTCAGGGACAGCTCCGAAAGCGGCGAGGTCCCTGCGCATGGGACTCGGTGGGACGAATAGGGGCTGTGCGTAGCAGCGATCCCATCGCGGGGTGAGTGTCCCTGACCACTTAGTCTGAAGTGGGAATATGAGTTATCATTAAAAGGGGAGACTACACTACTTGCCTGAAGTGGGAATATGAGAAGAAGGCTACTTCTTCGGTTCCCACTCCAGCCGTTATTATATACAAGCGGGATCGGTCATGTGGGGGGCGCCACATCACCCCTGCACACAGCCACGGCTCTCCGGGTGTCTCCGCGGGAGATCCCGAGAGGGCTTGCTGTGGGTGCAGGGCAAGTGTGGCGGTGGTGGCGGCGATGTAGGGACGGTAAGATACAGGAGGGGAAATAGGCGTGCATGCTGAAAGAGGGCTCGCAGCTCTCTATGCCGACTAAGCTCGTGGAGCCAAACTCTCCAAAATCCTACTTTCTTGACTAAAGTCGTGCTCTCGATCCTTAACTCCGTGGTGGGTTCTCCGGGATTTCCGCAAGGTCCGGGCTCAGTGTCCACTACTCACTCGTTGTGAGCTAGATCACTGCCCTTATTCCTACTGTTGGAATCCACTCACTCACACCCACTCTAGCGCATCCTAGCACCTTAGAGAATTTTGGGGGAGGGGAGAACTTCTTTTCAAAAATCCGGTATGTACAGGATTATATCTAATAATTATTTTTAGAAAGAATAGATGGAAAATATTGGTGCCATATGGCACCTGCATACCTTATTAGGCGAAATAATAAAAAGGGGTAACAGTATCAAGAATATCTGAAATGATGGCAAAATATGAAAATAAGAGAAAATAAGCGATATCTCAATGGATTTACGGAACTATGAGCCTAAATCGGAAATGTAGCCGGAGATAACTCTCACACAGCCGATAAACATTCTTACCAATCTATCAGACGCCGCGGGAACGAGTGAGGCTGGAATCCTGGGTTGCCGCTTGAGATTCCCACGCCCGCACATGCCCGTGCCTAACTTGCCCAACATAGAACTCCGTCAATTCTCCACCGATTGGGACGTTCTTAATATCGTCAGAATCGTACGAATTAGGACTATTTTTAGATACCGAATCCGTATCGAGTTGTCGCATGAATGGAAGGGGTTTTCTAATTGTGGAAATGGGTATCTGAGCCGGCTCTGCGCATGGGCGATTATCCCGCCTACAATGCCGGTGATACATTGAGCAGCGAGAAAGGTGGTCCATGTGAGAGAGAGAGAAAGAAAGAAAGGAAGAAAGGAGGAAAGGAGAAAGGAAGAGGGAGAAGCGGTGCGGAGCAGGGGAGCGGAGCAGGGGTTGGGCAGGGTGTGCCCTGACACTAATATCTCAGACATTTTAAGAATCTCTATTTACAAAGAGTATTTTTATAGCGCATACAAACAGTTTCAGAGGAACACGTGGGTCTGCAGAGAGAGACAGTAGACGCTGTCATAAAGCTCTTGTGGTTACACATGATAGTTGGGTGAGTGGTCACGGCATGGCTTGTGATGACTAGTTGCATGCTTCGGTCAATCAACACAGATGCCCAAAAATGCACAGATGGGAGATTGAAGTCCCATAGGTGTCCTGAGAAGGCCTTTTTCAAGCCAGTCAAGGCTCGATTGTCATCCTCACCTTCATCTTGGAAGGTGTACGGCAGTGGAATCTCCCGCATTGCCCGGTACTGGTCCATGTTACCCAGCTGTTCATTTTCCAGAGGGTCTTCATGTGTCAAAATGTCAAGTTTACAAATTCAGACAGATGGGGCACCAGGGATGCACAGATATACCAGTGGGCCCTGCAAAGGATTTCGAGAAATGCAACAATGAACGTTCTCGGCGTGATGTTCAGCCCCGAAGGCACCAGAAAGTAAGAGAACCAAATAAAATGAATAAGCACGTTGGATACCTAGCAACTACCATCAGGACATATCCAGTAATAATACTGCCTTAATGCTCACGATTGCAAAATAATAACGCTGTCCGACAAAATGTGAGCAAGTTACCATAGCTGGGCCTGGTGGCACACCGGAATATAGTCCCTGTATAAGAGCTCAGTGTGGAGGAACCTGTACTCCGCCATCGGATCAAGTAAGGACCAGTCTATGAGCAGGTCCTAGGGAACATGACATTCAGATCAGAGAGCTTGACAAAATGCAAAACCAGTGATAAACTGCACCCATACCGATGTGTAGCAGTAACTTGCAAAAAGTGTAATGGCAGTTCATGAACCATCATGGAAGTCATGACATTTCATGAATGGTCACCAAACTTCATGAAGCAGCATGAAGTGTCATACACAGTCATGCCAGTTCATGACAAACCATCATGGAATTTCATGAGATGTTGTTAGAACAGGCAGATTTGGACGACTCCGGAGTGGAATCGGAGACTTAGCATGGAAGGACCTCAGCCTCAGCGACTCAGGCAGAGTGCTGTGCCATTGCTGGTTGTCCTAGGGGTCCCTAATTTCGGATCTAGCAGAGGGAAAGTCTCTTGGGGGGAATTCAGGTCGATTTCAGACTGAGCCTCCTACAAGTATGTACAAGTGCCGATATATATAATGAAGGGGGCGAAAGCACAAGGGGAACCAAATCGGAATGAAGGCGTCCGAACGGGAACAAAGAGATGACAGAAGTGGAGCGGTACCAAAGGTCATAAGGCAGAACCTGTGATACGTCCGAAAGGAGGTAAGGAGGGCAAGGCCCAGAGGGGCAGGAGGATGAGGGGAAGTGGGGATGATGACTAACTGGCTAGAATGGGAAGAAGCAGCAGTCCAAATAGGGATGAGGGGAAAACGTGAGAGATACATTACAAGCAGCGAAAGTGCCGAAGATGATCCATGGAGCTCGGAGGTTGCAGAGCTTACGGAGGTTATGGAGGCGGGGTTGAAAGTCCGAGGAATATTGGCAATGGTGTTTACATAGTATGAGGTCACCAATGCAATGGACTAAGACTGAGGTGGAGTCAAAGTCCGAGGTAGGAACTATGACGGAGGCTCAGAGCAAAGGTACGAGCGGTGTCCAAGTATGAAGTACGGGACAGCAGTGGAAGGTCATAACTTGGTGGGAGGTCAGCGGAAGAGTACCAGAGGGAAGAGAGAGGAGAAAGGGAAGAGGGAAGGAGTGGTGGAAAGGAGAGTTGTCAGGTCTGAAGGTGAGTATCGGAGCAGATGGGAGAAGCGTAGGAGTAGGAGGAGGAGTAGTAGGGGGGCGATGCAAAGAGCATTATGATCAAGAAAGAGATGGGATGGAGAAGATTTGCGGAAGGATGTTGAAGTTGGGTTGGATAGGTCGCTTAACTTTGGAAAGCTGAAGTGTTTTGTCTCTTGCTGACCTCGGATGTGAAGTGTTAAGGCATCAGTGGAAAATAGCATTTGGTGGGGACGAAAGATCTCATTGAGCTGTGTCCGCTCAATGTGACACCTGTCAGCAATGTCCCAGGCACACACTCTGCCGTCATTGGAGGCCGAAACAAGATGACATCCATCAGGCGAAAATTCCACACAGGAGATGGTGTCAACATAATCTTTTGTTGCCTTCAGCCCTCGAGGGGGTATTTCCATTGTCGCATCCCAGACACATACAGTGCCATCGCGAGATGCTGAGGCCAGATAACAACCATCTGGTGAAAAATTCACGGACCAGACCCAATCAGTATGCCCTTTCAGCTCTCGAAGAGGCGCTCCTGTTGCCGCATCCCAGATGTGCACTGTGTGGTCATCTGAAGCCGAGGCCAAGTGACGGCCATCTGGTGAAAAATCCAGGGAATTGATTCTAGCAGTATGTCCACTCAATTCTCGAAGCGGGACTCCTGTTGCCACATTCCAAACATGTATGGTATTATCCGACAAGGCTGAGGCCAGATAACATCCATCTGGCGAAAACTTCACAAAATAGACCATGAAGGCACGTTCCTTCAGTATTTGAAGTGCTCCTGTCTGTTAGATACTGATCCGGGGTCGGGCACCGAAGGTCGCCGATGTGGACCGCTAAGGGCCGCGATGGCCACGATGCCTCAGACAAGGCCCGAGGGTAGGGCATTTGGCCTCAGCAACTCTAAAGGGAGTGCTGTGCCCCCTAGTTGTCTCTTGGCCCTCATTTCGAACTTACTGGGGCTGCCTTGTTGGGGTCAGGGCTTGGGGTCGTGGTCAAGTCGATATTAGAGCTGAGGTACTATAATGTAGTATACAGGATATATATATGAAGATAGAATGAATAGAAGCGGACCCGGGCCGAAGGCCGAAGGGTCCGGAAGCAAATAGGAACAACGAGCGGGGTTGGCCGCACAGCGGCCGGCAATGACCGAGGGTCAAAACAAACAATAACAGATAAATAAACGAAGGGGTGTAGGGCCGCGATAGCGGCAATGGTATCATAGCGGAGTAGGCGATGTCGCGGAGTCACACTAGGTCGGTGCCAGAGGCGGACTCGGGGCAGGGAGGTCGGTGTGGCTGTGGGGGAGTCGGCCAGGTGCAGGGGAGCCTAGGGGCAAGCGGGGAAGTGAGCAGGGAGTCCTCATGGAAGATAGGGCTGAGGTTGTGGCTCGCGCTCGCGCTCGCATAGCGGGAATGGGCTCGGGTGGCATCGGGATGGGCGGCTAATGGGCTGGGATGCATGGTCATGACACTGTCGATGCATCCCAGATACACATGTCGGTATCACCTGAGGCTAGATAACGCCCATCTGGTGAAAAGCAACCGGACAGGGCAGAGATATCATAGTCCTTCGATTTTCAGAGGGGCTCCCCTGTTGCTGTATCCCAAACTCGCACAGTGCGATCATACGAGGCCGAGGCCAGACGAAGGCCATCAGGGGAAAATGTCACAAAGTTCACCGCGTCAGTATGCCCCTTCAGTTCTTGAAGGCATGCTCCCGTTACCGCGTCCCAGAACCGCACAGTATGTCACGACCCGGCAATTCCCACGGTCAGGTGATCATTCCCCACGCCTTCTTCCTTCCCTGCTTCGACCCCGTCAACCCCGCTACCCACCCGACGCCGCCTGAACAAGCCTGCCACCCTTCCCCATCACCACTACCTGTTTCCACGGCCCGTCACGGGCCTACGAGTCTTTCTTTATCACGCTTGTCTTTCTTGATGGCCGTACACGGCCGTCCTTCTCCCACACTCTTTGTTTGTTTTCGTTTCTTCTTAACCCCGCCCGCAATCTCCGTGAGATCTGGCGACTGAATTCCATTCATTCCGTTATACTTAAATACCGGTTGTACACTACCTAGTACTGCAGTTCGAAAATCAACTAGGGTTACCCCCCGCACTCACTGTCTGACCCGGTCGCACCTCCTGCCTCCTGAAATATCGGGGCCGCGTCAAGTACGAGGTGCAACGCTCACGAACGAGTCGTTGAAGCCGAAACCCCTTTCCACCGCGATTGTCATCCCCGCCCTTGACGGGCTGTTACGCCGAAGCAGCGGACCTTAATGGTCGCCGACGGCGAGTCACAGTAACGTATTCCCACGCCCTGACACAGTACAATCATCCGATGCCGAGGCCAGATGAATGCCATCTGGTGAATATGCAACGGAATTGGCCCCATCAGTATGTCCCTTCATTTCCTGAAGAAGCGCTCTCATCGCCGCATCCCAGATGCGCACAACACCATCCCCACAGGCTGAGACTAGATGACAGCCATCTGGAGAAAATACCACAGAGCGGGGTTCATTTGGTCTGTGGATTATCCTCGTTGTGGTGACCATGATTGGCTGCTATCCATTTCATGAGACACTATACGGCATTCAACAGCCCACTCCTTTGGAAATGTTGCATCCAACGCGCTACCTGATGGAATAAATGGATGGCTACTTCCAAGTATAGATAAGGACGAGGCCGCTAATGCACTCCAGGATCGCTCGACTAGACAGAGCAGGTCGCGAATTACGTGACTTATACTATTGGTTGCTTGAATGCCGACCTTCAAAATGCCAAAGTGAGCCATACGCTAGTATCCAAGTAATTTTTGACGCACTAGCCATCGCTGTAGTTCTTTCATGCTTTGGCATGCTTGGTCAATTTCACCCATGATTCCCATTGCCGCAATCCAGTGAAGCGCTGGGACAGTGTTGAAAAGGGCCTCCATTGTTTTGCCATCATGGGACTCATCCGATTTACAAAGGAGAGTGACCCAATGACGACACACAAACTTCAGCTGTGTCATCATCAGCCTCTCAAACTCAGGTCGGAGATCAGGAATTTCTGCATCTAGTTGGAAACGCCATAGCGTTGGCAACTGATCCAGCACTGCACATCGCCCAAGCAGCTCCAATGTGAGAAGCACCGTGTCTTTCCCTGGAGAGAGCCCGAAAAATGGATCCAGGTCACTTTTGAGCGAATGATAGGTAACTGCGGAACGACGATGCAGCGGAAGAGCTTCCTGCAGCTAGTGGATGGATTAGACAGTCCACGACTCCAGCGTGATCCACATACAGATGATTCCAAGAGGTGTATGATACTCGATATTGGAATGGCGAGATTATCTTGAAGTTGTTCCCATGATGGGAGGATCTGAACTAATTTACTAGAAAACAGGAAGTTAGCGGGAGTTGCGTAAAATAGGTTGTTCAGTGGAATAACCAATTAATTTACTAACTCGGTGAAATCGTTTGGGAAGATCCGTGCACCTTGGGTTCCATAGAGTCCATGTAGGTATTTGTGTAATGTCCGCTGTAATGCGGCAAGGAGAGCTTGAGTGGATGTGGAGATTTTGGGTGGGGAACTGTGATAAGCGGACTGATAGCTCAAACTGGATCAGTGACAGTGAATGACGGCATGCAGGCTATTCTCTCACATGATGCTGTTTTACAGTATCGAGGACAGACTTCACAGCCTTCCTTAGCCTTGAATCTGCCATTAAATCAGCGAATTTTATGATTGTCTCTGGATTGGCATTAATGTCTTTGGCAATGTGCGAATATGTCAGAACTGTGATGCGGTCTCGTCTCTCAGCACCGATTGTGGGATGGTCAAGCCACCCTCTCTCATACTTTGCCCCGAACCTCCGCAGCAACATTTCCTGAATGACGGAAGCGAAAAACCAACAATTTTCCTACATGTAGTTCAGCTGGCTGTGTCTCGATTTGAGGGGTCTTATTTGGTCGCGTGATATATGAAAGCTGGGGTATAGATGTCCCCCAAATCGGGAAACTGACGAGAAGGCACTGCCACTGCCCCTGAAACTCACCTCCTGCACACCTTGCGTAGCTGGATCGATCAGGTCTCAGATGGTGTAGTGTGGAGGGAATGGCCTATTTCGATGTAACGCAAACTAATCCCAGAGCCCATTCCACTTATCAGGGCCAGTTATCATGTCACTGTGATCGACCTTCAATGCCATCTCCCCAGTCCGATCCTCACTTTCTCAATGTCGATCTACCACACAAACCTCTTGTGGACCCGCTCTGGATTCCTCCGAGGAGTTGAATCGGGATTTGGAGGTGGAATCGACCCTTGGTTGGCTCCGGAATGGTGTCGGCATCAACTTGAAAGGGGACGTTCGGGGAGCGGAATTATATATGCGATCTGGGTACCAGCTTTAGGATACATGGCTACGCAACAGGAGATGGGTAGATCGACCCATAAATGCTCCAAACGATGTAGATACAACATTTTGTTTTCAAGATATCAAATTTGATGGATCGGATGCAAATTGAAGATTTCCCCTAAACCCAAAACGACCTCCAGAACGAGAGAAAACTCTCATAATGTCCTCCCCTCTGAAAAACACGTCCAATAACGCATCTGACGCGTCCAGTGATACACCTAATGCTTCCATCCTCCACTTGAATGCCAATTTCACGGACGGAATCACGGTGTTGACAACAGCGCCTGCGGCAAATGACTTTTTGGGAGAAAAAACTGGTCCATTTGCAGACCTAAGGGCACTTGTCAAGAAACACACTACAATGGCCCACAGGGCCAGCTTTCAGCCACTTCCCTCCCTGGAAAACGTAGTTCGGGATGTTGCACAGCACCTGTGGGGACATACACTCCCCAAAACTATTGGAACAATTGGCAACATATTTGACGCCATCTCACTGACAAATGACTTAAGTTTCGAAAGTGAGTCATTATCTAAACAGCTCCAAGCCACTCAGTTATCCTCAACATTCCGGACAGTATTCCTAGAGACATGCATTGCCGCATATGCAAAGAAACGTGGCAAGTCACCTCAGGAGGCCATGGAATGTTTCCGTTCACATGTTCCGAGTGAGGTAGGACAAACAGCTTGGCAGGCATGGTTGAAATTGCACCATAAGTTCACAACATGGTCACACTCTCACACACTCAATATTTCCCCTTTCAGCTGGGAAAGATAGCTCAGAGGCAGGAAGCCTTCGTAAGGCAGAGCAATTGAAGATCGAAGAGAAATACCCTGAGAGGGCCAATGAAGCAAAGGCTTTTTATGACAAGTTGCTCGTGCATTATGGGGATGCAATCCTACCAAAAGACGAGAGGGAAAGACGATCTGAAAAGGGCTTCTACTTGCTACAAAAGCTGACTGGCAGATACGCTGCTCAGGTGAAGTTGGAGATCAATATTATTGTAGATCTAATTTGACAAAATAGTGACATGATAGGCTTCCACGCTCAGCTTGATTTACCCTGTTGGCATTGCACTTGTGGGCTTCACTTCCGATGAAGCAGTGCCACCACAAGAGTCAACCATTGCGTTCACCAGTTCACCATTCATCGCTGAACTAGTGAAAACATTGGGATTACCCTTTACTCAACAGGCCGCGCAAAGTATGAGGTCCCTGTATGATGGAGTATCAGCATTCAGGTGAGCAAGATAGATATGGCAATGCACAAGGAGCCTACTTATAATGTTTCCTCAGCCCTTATCAGCCCAATGCTGCCAAACAAAAGTCTGTATATCCGGCCCTTTCCTGCTGCTTATGCTAACTTGCTGTAGAGCTTTCCTCCATCACCTTAGTGATTTCAAGGCCCCTGTGAAGTCTGAGAATGAGGAACATAGTATATCGGGCCTTATGAAGGCCATCGTGCAACATGCCAAAAAAACTGTCCATTTTAATGATGACTTAGAGAGGCATCCAGGTGGCAGCGACGTATGTGTGAAGCCGAAGGCTATAGATGAGGATAATGTGGACTTTTATACACCAGTGATGAAAAACGAGGATGGCTTCGCTATTGAAATCGACAAGGAGTTTGGTAAGCCCACGGAGCGCCGCAAGTTGTGTGCTAAACAACTCCGGATGTTAATCAGTATGTCTTCAGGTTGAGCCTGGGTGATCACCGACTGACATACACGCTAGGTGATAAAGTGGGCTCAGCTGACGAGGTGCAGGACAACTGGAAGAGTGCCAACATTCTCCCCCTCTTACTTGAGCATCGCCTTCGATTTGCCGGGTGGCATCGTGGAGTACCATGCTTGGATAAGTCACTGCCGTCCAATTGGACGCCACATGAAACTGCCCATTGCTTGTTGCAACTCTCTCACACCATTCCAGCCCAGAGGTTGAGAGTCGAGACCATGACCGAAGGTAAGGGTATATCAGTAAATGTTTGAAGGTTAGAGCTGAGGTACCGTTGTCCAGAGGAATATGTGGAACGCGAGGTAGTGCACTGGGCTCCAGACCCAAAGGGTGAGGTTTGATCTTATGTATTGCCCGAAGATCAGGTATGCAGGGCCGTGGCCAAGACAGTGGCCGTCAGCACTCGAGCAGGACATCCAGAAAAATGCAAGGCAGACTCGCCAGAAGCGACTAGTGCCAATGACCAGGGGACATCAAGTCATCCAAGCCCCAAATGGACGAGGACTAGGTCGAAGAGGATATCAAGTAAGCCTAAACAGGTGAGAGCTAAGCCTGGACAGAAGGTCCCAGTCGTGAGCAACCACGTAGTGAAAACAGTGCCGGAAACGACAGCTGGGACTAGCATACATTTCAGCTAAGTATCGCCTCTTCCCCACCACACAATATGGGGGCCTACTGGGCAGATCAGCGCAAGATGCACTGATGTCCATAGTCCACGACATAGAAGCAGCTTGGAACCACAAAAGAGTAGTCTCCATGTTAACCTTCATATAACCGGCTTCTTCGAGTGAGCTCAGTGGGCTCATAGAGCTCATAGGGCTTTGTGGTTTTTTTTACTAATGAATGGTCTTCTTGTCTCCATGGAATCTGCCAAGTTATCTTGGCACCAGTAGTGCAATGGTAATATGGATATATGTTTCTGTAAATGTGTGGAAAATAGCCATCCTCATCACTCCAAAGGCTCCAAAGGCTCTATGAGCTCTATGATCTCAGCAGGCTCATAAACCTCATAGACCTTTTGTGTTTACTGATGTATCCATGGAATATGCTGAGATACAGCACCTTGTTTATTGCTATTTGAAAAATTTGAGGAAAACTCCAAAATTCACAACTTTGCACTTTATCTTTCATCTCATTTCTCGCTCAAAACTCATCCAATTTTGATGATTCTATCTATGTGCATTGGAAAGCACCTAAGTGTGGCAATGTAACCATGCATGTTATGTAGGGTATAAATCAGTTTTGAAAAGTGTCCCAAAAAGAGTAAATTTAAAATACAGCCCAATAAAGCAAACAGAAAGCTGATGTATCCTTCAGATATCGATATCATCCATACATCCATACCAAGCCTTTTGAATTGTCAAAATTGGGTGAGTTTTGGGTGAGAAAGGAGATGAAATATATAGTGTAAATTTTTGGATTTTGGAGTTTGCCTTGAAATTTTCAGATAGCAAAAATTTATGATAGAAAGGTGATTTCAATTTTTTTAAATTATTTCTAAATGTCCTGAATTTTCCCTAATTTTCCCTGATTTTTTAGAAAATTTCCTTTTCTCAATTTTTTTTGAAAGTCCCCCATTTCTCCCTGAATTTTCTGAATTTTCCTTAATTTTCCCTGACTTTTTTCAAGTTTTTAGAAACCCCCCAGTTCCCCCTCATTTTCCTCCCATTTCCCCCTTCATCCCCCCCCTCAATTCCCCCCCCCCCCCCAATTCCCTCTGCAATTCTCCCCCCATCCCCCCCTTCAATTTTCCCCTCATTTCCCCCTCATTGCCCCCTCCAAATGTCACCCCATTCCCCCCCTCCATTTTCCCCTCATTTTCCCCCTCATTCTCCCCCTCCCCCCCCCCATTTCCCCCCATTTTCCCCTAACCTATTTATAACCCTAAATTCAGTGTATATATCAATTGGGTTGTGTGCCCTTGGTGTGCAGTGCCACATGAGGGGTTGCAAGTTAAGTAGACTGTTGTCCAGTTGACCCTAGGGTAGGAACTGGTTGCCCCCCCTACCCCCTTCTCGGGAGCCAGCGAGGATCTCGACCGCTTCAAAGCTGAATGTGGTATCTACTTCCATGTCTGCGCAGCCGAGTTCCCCAGCGCCCTCTCGCAGATCCTCTTCGTACTCTCCTATATGAAGGGAGGGACTGCAGGAGCATGGGCCATGCAATGCACCATCACATTGCTGATGGCCGGCTTGCCCACACTCACCATGGACAAGTTCAACACAGAACTCAATGCCATGTTCCAGGATCCAAACCGGGAAGCCACAGCCCGGCAGAAACTGGCAAACATCCAACAAGGGAGTGACTCCATGGATAAGGTCATCCAGGAGTTTGAAATATTGGGACCCACCTCACAGCTGGGTGATGTTGGGCTAGTTGACCGCTTCGAGCAAGCAATCAACACCCAGCTCTGCAAGAGCATTTACTGCCTCCATCCCATGCCCACCACCTGGGCTGAATGGAAATGTGAGGCCACCCTTCTCAATAACCAATGGCAACGTTTCCAGGCAATGCAGCCCCACACGCCCCCATCCAGACCCCCATTCCTGCTGAGACGACCCCTACCAACTACCACCCCCTCTCACACACATCCCATGCCCACACGCCCGCAACCCATACCCATGCCTTTACCCCCAACTCCTACAGTCCACCCTGCAAGTGGAGCGGGCCCACAGCCAATGGACCTTGATCACTCAAGGATCGACCAGAGGCAGAACGGGCTGTGTTACAACTGTGACACCCCAGGGCACATCGCCCAGGAGTGCCAGCACCCCAAGGTCCTGTTAGAACGGGCGGATTCGGACGACTCCGGAGTGGAATCGGAGACTTAGTGTGGAAGGACCTTGGCCTCAGCAACTCAGGTGGAGCGCTGTGCCATTGCTGGTTGTCCTGGGGGTCCCTAATTTTGGATCTAGCAGAGGGAAAGTCTCTTGGGGGCATTTCAGGTTGATTTCGGACTGAGGTTACAAGTTACTATGTACATTGTATATAAGGAGGGGTCCGGAATCAAAAGGAGCAAGGGTACTCCAAAAGGAGACAAAGGGAGCTGAAAGGAGGAACAACACCGAGGGTCAAGGGTTTGACTCAATGGTGTTTCCCAAAGGAGGAGTGAAGGGCCAAGGCCCAAGGAGGAAGGAAGGAGGATGGGAGTGGGGAATGGCCAGCTGACTGAATAGAAAGGAAGCAGCAGCCCGGGTGGGAATGAGGGAGTATAGCAGAATTGAATGGAGCAATGCAATAGTTGCAAGGTCCGACGTAAGTCCGGAAAGTCCGAACTTGGAAGTTAAACTCCGGAATATTGGCAAACATAATTAAATGGAATGAGCTAACCAATACAATGGGTATAAGCGGAGGTGGGGTCAAAGTCCGAGGTCGGAGCTAAGACCGGAGGTTCCGGAAACAGAGACGCGAACGGGATTCCGGAGCGGAGGTCCGGAGTTGGGAGCATAGGTGTTGCGTACTCGTCTGGAAGGTGTCAAGGTTGGGGTTGGACCCGGAATGTTCCGGAGTCGGACTGACAGAAGGGTAGTAGGACTCCGGAAGTCAGGTTTGGAGTTCCGGGAGCCCAGAGCGGAGGTCGGGATTGCATGGATATGACAGGTCCATCGAGTATGACACTTCCACCCTGAAGACCTTCGGGCGCTGATGGAAGGACTGAAGAGCCAGTTGACTGGAGAGCCAGAGATGGAGGAGAGAGGGCCAGAGGAGGATCCCCAGGAGGATTTTCAGCAAGGTGACTGGTGAGGGATGCGTCCCAGCCGCCTGTAGTGGACAACTCGTGTAAATACCACAGTGCATGTAAGCCAACACCAATGCCAAAGTTCCACCGAGTTATCGCAAAGAAAAAGAGGAAAAATGCATCCTCCATCTCATTTCCTTTGTCTTTCACGTATCACTGTTGCCACTCACCCATGTATTTAAGGGCGAAGCTGCACATGCGGATACCCAACTAATAGATGGTATCCAACATCTCAGACATCTCAGTGGGGTGCATCAACACTATGTGTGCTAGGGGATCTGTTGTTATGTAGCTCTCAGTGGGGACACTCAGATAACAGGGAACAACCACATTGATATTGTAACTGCACAGTGGTATAAGTAGTTAAGGTAATAACACAGATATCAGACAAAGGTGATAAAAGGATGAGATATGCGACAGCGCTACATGTGGAAGGCAATCAACAGTGAAACATGAAACACATGGTGAAAGGGTATCATATCGGATAGCTGATATGGGCATGATATGCATACCGGTGCGTCGTCATGTCTTGCTCAAACAACAGGGTCTGTTGGTTCAGGGATTGGCAGAGCTGTGTTTTGTTTGTTCCTCAGCTTCTTTTTGTTCCTGGTCTGTTCCAAGTTGTGAGTTTGCTGTTGGCTAAAGTAATATGAGATTGCTAGTGAAGCAGGGCAACTCAGTCTCAAGCAAATAATGCGAAAGAGAACTGAGGGAAAAAGTGATTCAAAGAGCGGTAATTCCCATGTAGTTTGGGAGCGGGATAGTCCGAAATGAATACAAAAGAATGAATAAATAGATGTGGCTGGCCGGGCAAGTTCCTCGCTCGGCCGTGGGAATGTGGCTGTACAAAAACTCGCACGGCCCCGCTAGCGCACTGTTTTCCAACATCTAATCAGGGTTGACTGAGGTCATAGCGGGAGATGGCCCAGGAGGCCCAGAATGTATTGGGAGCAAGCAAGCAGCATGAGACATGTGTGAACCGTATCAATCTAGTCCTATTCAGGTGGCAGGAGAGGGTGGATGGTGGTGAAGAGACTGATGTAGACGCATGCACTCATTGAGATTTCTTAATTAGAGCCGGCATCAAATGCCGATCTCCCCGAGAGTGTTCCCTGGATGAGGATAGGGTTGTGGCAAATATAGATGAGAAAGGTTTCTGATGACCATCATCCGATAGATTGGATCCTGGGCAGTGGCGTTCCTGCCAGCGCAAGTGCAGTGGCGCCGCCTGAATGTAG